AATAAGAATTTTACTTGCAACAGTTTCTTCTGTATGTAAATCGGCACAAATCTCCATTTCATTGTTATCGTCTGAAAAATTTAATATTAATTTGTATAATGGTATACAATAACTTATAACAGGCAATAACAAAACTAATAAAACAATTCGTGCACATTTTTTATATTCATAATTTATCATTAGTGAATATGGCTTTAACAATACAATATACATGATAAAATACATAAGAAAATAAGAATTGTTTGTAAATGCTTACCCATTGACAATGCTATTTTATATTGTTTACGTGCATTTTCTTTATCAAAATGTTGCAGAAATTCTTTTAATGAATAGATACCAGTGGATAAATAATTTTGTGCTTTTTGTATTTTTGCATTTTTGTACGTATTATATGCACAACGGTTTCTTGTTACTTGTAGACCATTTATTAAACGTTCGTAATTGATTTCCTGATCGGTAATTAATTTAGAAATGACATCTACAAAAATAGATAATTGGTAATATAAGGAACATTAAACACATAATTCTTAAGCATTAAGATATTTTTATAAAAACAGACCTAAAAATACCCATAAATTTGGATGAAGTGTTCGTATTATTTGTGATATAGTGTTGTGGAATGATTCTACAAGATTATTTGTTCTAACCGGACATCCATATACACTTATTTTTTTCGACAATGGAAGCCATGTGTTTCTCATATACTTCATAAAAATCAACATATTAGGATTTTTATCAGATTCTTCATCAGCAATCATTTGCATGAGATTTAAATCTTCGGCAAACATATCTGATGGTGCCAATGCTAATGATATAGCCATGGATACTACTTTATGTGATGCTGTGAGAAGTCCTAATTGTTTCCATTTTCTCAAAACTGCCTAAATTGAAAAAAAAAAATATATAAATAATCTTGGTAGAAGAGAAAATTTATTTTAAATTATAAAAAAAATATGGAGAACAAATCTATAAAACATATTTACAAGAAAACTGATAAAAGCTGATAATTTCAGTAATAAAAATATTTAAAATACTTGGCAATAGTGAAACCAGCAGCCTCGTAGAGATGCATGGGGAAATTGCTCGTGAACAGCATTGATCGATGCTTTTTTATAATCCATCATTATAAAACGCAAGTTGCATTGCAAGTTAGGAACCAGTTTGACAATTTCTTTCCATATGGATTTATAAACAGATTGTGTTCTTGCTTCACATAGGATAAATAATACTACAATGCCCTAGAAAATAATGTTATATAATATTTAAACAAAAAATATGTGCACCAAATTATACGACTAATGGAAAAAATTATTATGCAAAAATAATACCTTATTCATGTATCGCACATGCACTTTAAAAAGCTGTGTAAAATATGGTGTTTTGGGTACAATCTGAAACAACATATACAACAACATATAAGAGAGATATACGCGCAACTATAATCATCTACAATTAATATTGTAGTTACAATTTTTCTGTTTCTACCTTGCTTAAAAAGTTTAATATAAAGAACAATAAAAATATATTAAAACTTCATAGAAATTCGATCTGATTTTACTTGCACTTATGTTTATTTGACTTTATATTTCATTTCATGTAAAGAAGCTATCAAATTCTATCATTCTTTATTGTATCTTATTGGGAACGACTAAATATTTATCTGCATACACATTTCTTTCTATATTACTCTATTTAAAAGGAATATTTTCCGATTAAGTTATATAAATTCACATACACATCGATTCGTAAATTTATAAAATTTATATACGCGTTATATAACAATTATATTGTTGAGTAAGAAATCATAACTAACAGTTATGTAACTGTAACTCAGTGTTTGCTGGAATATATCAGTAATATCAATAATATGTATCCATCAAAATTTATCCGTCAAAATATATCTAGTACATCAAAGATTGGTCCCATACAGCATATTTTATTTTGTAAACATCCTCCGGAGATAGAATATCCATAGGACGTCATACGACCAAGTGTGTTGTGTGAGATGTAATGCGTAAGGTAAATGACTCACAATCAAAGTTCAATCCCAGCAATGTGTGTTTTCCAAATATGATATAAATGGATTAAAATAGTTAAAGATATGATATAAATGGAGTTAAAGAGATTAAATAGAATAGTTCATAATAAAATTCCCAATCAATCATCATTCATTAATAGATTATTTCATTAATAACTCACTAACAAGAATAATACCAACAGTGTAAGATACGATAAGGAATGAATTTGATAGTTTTGTAATTTTTAGATATTCTTTTATACACGAAAAATAACATACAAAAAATAGATAATTATCAACCATTTCAGATAATCAATCTCATATTTATGAACCAAAAACGATAAAATATTGTTAATTTCGATAAAACAATCAAATATAAGTTAATTGAAGATTATACAAGCTACATGATAAATAAGATACAGGAAGACAGAGAATGTATAAAAATTTCAAATAACCAATCTGATATTTGTGAATAAAAACAATTTAATTAGATTTTTTTTCTATTCCATTCTATCGGATATTTTAAGTAAGATAAATCATGAAAAATTGTCATTTAAGTGATAAATACTTACAGAAAATGTACCATCTATAAAAATTTCTGAACTTTTTTCTAATATTTTTAGAAGTTTATCACTTGTAAAGATATAAGAATACTTATTATCTTCAGATACAACATAACTTTTATAGATAAGTTTTGTTGAATCATAGTACCGTAAACAATAATCTAGGTCGCAAATGTTTGGAGGTAATGAAGGTCGCATTTTGGTTTTTTCTCTTGTTAATACAGATTTCATAGCATTGTATGAAATATACCCTGCTGCGTTAGAATTTTTTCGAGAAACTGTATCGAATATTTCTTTATTTGTTGCTGAAGTCTCTTTGGTCATTTGTATCATGTCTCTTTTTAGATTGTAAGTATCAACAACATAAGGTTCTCTTAGATGATCATGATCCTTTTTTAAAATAAATGTTTTTTCTTTAATTAACAAACTACTACATGGAATAGTACGTCTTTTTGCACAACGATATATGTGAGGGTATCTTTTATCAATATGATATGTAAATCCTTGATATATATACAAATGACTATTTTTTCTTTTTCCAGGAATTACTTCCATTTTTATGCTGTAAATGTAATAAACTTTTTGTAATATATTTATAGATTTTTAAAGTCACACATAGAAAGATATTATTACCTTATATTACCTTTATATTATCACCTTTGTTAAAA